TCTAATATTTGCCCTCTTCTGGCCAGGATGCCGTTGAGAACTGGTGGCCGAATGGTTATGGAAAGCAACACTTGTACTATTTAAATACCACTGTGACAACGGCGAACAGTGTTCTATACAAACGGATTCGTATAGGCTTCAGAACGGTCGAGCTGGTGGAAGAACCTCTGAAGAAAGGATTAAGTTTTTATTTTCGCATAAACGGCATACCGATATTCGCTAAAGGCAGCAACTTCATTCCAGCCAGTATCTTCCCTGAACTAGGCGCGAAAGAAGACACCATCAGACACTTGTTATCGTCCGCCAGAGAGACGCATATGAATATGCTGAGAGTGTGGGGCGGTGGTGTTTACGAGTCAAAATTATTTTACGACTTGGCCGACGAATATGGGATTATGATTTGGCAAGATTTTATGTTTGCGTGCGCTATGTATCCCTCGAGCGATTCATTCTTGAAGAGCGTAAAAGAAGAAATATTGCAAAACGTAATACGTTTGAAAAATCATCCAAGCATTGTTCTTTGGGCTGGCAATAACGAAAATGAAGTAGCACTTGATGATAATTGGTATGGCACTGGTTCCGCTCAGGTATATGGAGAGGATTACGTGAAACTTTACGTGAATTTATTGAAGATGGAAATGGAGAAATTAGATCCTATAAGACCATTCGTCGTATCTAGTCCGGGCAACGGAGCGTATGAAAAAACTTATAATTATATTGGAGGAAAAGATCCTTATTCGAATCTTTATGGCGATGGTAATATATATTTATATATTTATATTTATATGACGATTATATAAGTGACAAACGTTCAGCGTTATCATATTAAATTGAATTTCACTTTTAAACTTATGTATACAGGGTATCCCGAAATTCGGGAATCGAAAGCAAGAAAGCCTTCGAAAAATTAAGTAAAAAAGTTATTTGTAAATTTTTATTTTAAGCAGTGTAGTTTTTGAGATATGAGTTTGGCTAATAGATTACAATTAAACGGGAACATCCGTAAGTAGCGCGTCGATAATGTTAATGGTCGCGCACTTTACGTACGTATAAACTATAATTGGCCAAATTTAAACTCTTATATCTCAAAAACTTCTACTTAAAATAGAAATTTACAAATAACTTTTACTTAATTTTTCGAAGACTTTCTTGCTATGATATTTGAATTTCGCGACACCTTGTACATATAATATTTTCTTTTTCAGTTCACTATTATAACTACTTCAGAAATGGATGGGATATCACTCAATATCCTCGGACAAGATTTTGCTCCGAGTATGGAGTTCAATCTTGGCCATCGATTTACACGATATTAACTGCTGTAGAAAGCATAGAAGATCTTCATATCAACAGCGACTTCGTGAAACACAGACAACATCAACCATTCGGCAATCAATTTATGTTCCTGCTGATCTGGTACAACTTTGCTGTACCGCAAAGTAACAATAGCATTCGAGATTTCGCGAGTTATGTATATCTTAGTCAGATCAATCAAGCTGTTTCTATAAGGATAGAAACAGAAGCGTATAGGCAAGCCAAGTCCGAGGTGAATTCCATAGGTGAGGGTATGACAATGGGAGCTCTCTATTGGCAGTTGAACGATGTCTGGCAAGCTCCTTCGTGGTCGTCCATAGGTAATCAAAGACATTAATATCTTGGAACTAGTACAGAATTAAAAAAATCTTGACCGTTCGAATCTGTGTTTCACTAAGTTTTTTCAAAACTCTCCAAACAATAAACGCGTGAGAACATATGGAGAATTTGAATTTTGCTTTTATAACGTTTTCTATCTTTTACAAAAAAAAACAGCTACTTATTGATTGTTCTAGTTACAAGATATAAACTATTTTATTGTTTACATGTTACGAAAATCCGCGTTATATTTACAGATATCGAAGGTCGTTGGAAAATGCTCCATTATTACGCCCAGGATTTCTTCGCGCCTATTATCGTTACATCATATTTATCCCTCTTCAATAAACTCTCAATATATGTAGTATCTGATCGGTTGTACACCTTAACAAATTGTACAGTAAAACTTCATGTTTATAAATGGGAATCTATGAAACCTATATCCACATTATTCTTCAATAATATTGTAATAGTGAGTATAATAGACTACATAATTTGTATATATAATAGCTATATTGAGCTTGTTTTTCAGGAATCTAATAAAGCCATGAAAGTTACATCTTTTTGGTTAGACATATTCCTGCTTCAAGCGGGTTGTGGATTATTGAAATTCAGAAGATCTTGCATAGCCACTTTATTCCTCACGGATGAATCTGGATCCTTAATCGCGCCAGTTAATTACATATATCCTAATGCGTTAAAGAATGCAAATATACCAGTAGCCAATGTCACAGTAAGTCGATTAATTAGCATCATATATAAAGCCAGATATATTGTAAATACTATCAGAGATATTGCTGACACGCATTATTTCTCGTTTTAGATGAAGGTCGAAGAGAATTATTTACCTGGGAAGTTTTCCAATTCTGCAGATTTCAAAATTGTATTATCGACAGATAATATAACACTATTTGTATGGTTAGAAGTGGGCAATATACGTGGCCGTTTTTCGGAAAATGGATTTCATATGTTTGTAAAGAAGAAGGAAATTATTTTTCATGCGTATGAAGCAACCACAATTGAATTATTGCAGAGCAATATAAAACTCACACATCTATCAGACATTTACAATGCACAAAGCAATTTTGAGTTTGACTATACTTTGCCAAAAAGACAAATTTAGATTAATTATGCATAAAATTTCCTAGTGTAATTGCATAGGCATTAAGAATTACTATAACAATTGTATATACTTTGTGATAATTACTACAGATCAAATTTTGTTGATAACTATTTTTTATTCGAATATGTTTCGTATTTTCAAACTGTTCTTGATAGAAAGTAAGTGTCGTAGTATGAGTAAATTTAATATTCAATAAGAATTATAATAAGCACATCAATTATATGTGAAATAAATCATTTTTATAACCGCAGCGACCGCAGCATTAGTTAGAATGTTCCTGATCTGTGTAGAACACTTAACATGCAATCACAATATTAGCTACAGTAATTTCATAATTTGCTCATAATTTGTAACTATTAATTAATTTAGCAACTGCAAAGGGATTGCGGTCAATATAGAAAATAATCGCGATCACTGTCAATTGCTATCTCATAACTTGATCTAAAATACATTGAAAAAATATTTAAAAAATTTAATTAACATGTACATATAGTAATTATAATTACTCAGTGATTTCATGCTTCTATAATCTATAGAACACATGCAAGCAGTAATAGCGGCTAATACAGAAAATTATCGCTATTATATCATGTTAATTATTTCATATTTTAATACAAAAGGCTTTTAATTAATTTTAACATAGCAATTATAGTATTAATTACAGCGATTTCACGCTTTTAATCTCCAGATATCTATTATACCATCGCGGTTAATACAGAGAATGATCGCAATCACTGCCAATTATTACACATATAAATACAGCATGGTTCAATTATAAATCCAGGCACATAACCGAATATATTATTATGCTACGGTCGCACGGAACCTACTTGATGAAACTCGCTTATTGAGAATACAATGTGTCACGTCGGTGTCACACGAAACTCGCGTGTCGCATTGCCAACAAGACATAGCGTCACTGCAGTGACGCTACGATTGCACGGAGCTCGTTCTGACGGAATTGTCGCACATTCGCATTAAATATGTATTTTCGGTATACGAGGATCAAACGGCAAATTTTCCGTTAAGCGCGGTGCAGGCGCGCCGATAACCACGATGATTTGGCTATTGGACAGGCCACATCTAACGAAAAATACGCCAGGCTTACGTTCGCACGGCTCGCGCTCTGACTTTTTCGGAGGAGCGTAAGGATCACTTTCGCGTGACTATGTTCGCCGTACTCACGTCCGTAATCGCAACGATTTCAAATTCACGACGTTGATCACGATCGATGAAGCGCGGCTGATCGTGAGAGTCCGCGATAACCGATACGCTCCGACGATCGTCCGTCACTTAAATCGATACTTCCGACCAAAATTCGCGCTCACTGTGCGCTTTTGACTTTTGATTTTTTGATTTTTGGATCGCGATCGCGCTCCGTGTTCGCGCTCGACGACGCGTCGGGACTAGTTTGGCCGTCAGGGGCGCGCTCGGCGTCGTGTTTTCAGTATGTATCATATGTATTGAGAAAATTTAAAAGACGATTAAATTCGCGATATATCGGACACCTTATCCACACACTTCCTAACAAGCTACGATCATCAGTTAGGTATGTACATATCATTTCGAGTCATTTTTAAATGAAAATTTGCAAAAATACAACATACTTACGAAGAACAGAATTGTTCTCGTTCCAATTTCACACTGACGCGAGCACACCGACGTCAGCAGCGTCAGTTAAGTTATGATTGGAATTAATTACCTTTATAGATTTAGACAATTAAGTTTGAGGATCATATAATGATAATTCAACGGCTTGCTATAGTGAATGCGATTTGGAATAGTTGTAACAAATATATAAGTGAAATAATAAAAAGTTCACAAATATATATCAAATGATAATAGCAGCAAAAAATTGTCGTAACGTTAATATATTAAATTTAAATTTTTCTTATAAAAGAAAATACTATATTTATTCTTATTCTGAAATTTACGTTAACTCTATATGTAGCTCTTCCAATTATAAGGCGTATACATAATTTACAAGTAAATATTACTCCTTTTTCCTTTTTGCTAAAATCTGCTTTCTGATAAAAACATATACAAGCATACAAAAATTATATATTTCAATATTTACGTTCATTTCTAATGTCATTTTTATATATAATCGTATATATATTCAATAGCTGATTCCCCTCTATGTTACAAAAAATGATAACTCTTATAAGTATGACTGAAATACTATATACAATAAAACAATGCATGACACGTATATACGTTGGTTATCTATTTATTTATAAAATACATATTTCCAAGGTATAGTACAGTAAATTAATCTCTGTAATAATTGCGAGACAATATGACCAAGACTCGAGACACGATTAAACGTGATACGGAACGTAAAATTCTTAAAAGACGAAACGTTCTATATACAACAAATCCGGACAAATGAGTCTATATACAATAATACAATCAGTTTGCATATATCACGAACAACCACGTTTTTCGCGACACATTACCAAAAAAGCATTCGAAGCGAGAATTGGTTTTCATTGCAGAAAAGCGACGGCAGTGACTGCGTTACTGCAAATCAAACATTTCACGCCTTCTTTTTCCCCTCGAAAATTTTGCGTACGAAGAAGAGCTAACGTTAAATCGAATCATGATTAACATTTTTTTACGTAACGAACACGAACGTGACACGTATCGATGATTGAAATCCGATGAAGGAACGATGCCAATGTAGCCGAAGATAAGAGACAAAATGCAAGTAATCATGACGTGTACTTCTGGGGGGAAAGGATATAACGTCGTACCCATCTATCCTAACATTTAACAATCAACATCCAAACGATTACTCCTTTATGCGCTCTCCCTCGAGTGGAAACATACCATCTTTGTTAACGGAACACATTAAATTGGCCATGCAACTCTTATTTTTTTTTACAACGAGACGTGGTACGTGTCGTTGACTCGCAATTTCGATATCGCTACCAAAGAAGGTTGCTTCCACCTGGGCGTCGGCGAGCCGATTAAAGCTATGAGATACGTAGTCTTACCACAAGTATATACACATACTTGGTTTTACACTGAAAATATATGAATATCTCTTGCCTGTCGCTTTTTATAATCTGTTTAAAATCCTTTCATAGTTTAACATCATATAATATTTTCTCTTTAACTTTGTTGTGTTCAATACGCGACGCTTGGGAAACCGCGTGATACATTTTTTACGGCACATTACCACGACACATAAACGTTTTCGTAAAATAAACGCTCGTTGCGCAATGACTTTGAATAAATACGGATTCTTTCAATTCAGATGATCAACATGACAATTCTATAATATACTGATAAAAAAAAATAATCTCATCTAGAATTACTCTATTTTAAAATACTTAATTGTTTATTTCAGAAATTCAATAGATAATAAATTCAATAATTTTCTTCTTTGCGTCAAAGTAATCTTGAGAGATTTTTTATTTACTTTTATTTGAAATAACGCAAAAGTTTAAAAGATATAATTATATCTGTATAATAATATTAATTTAATTAAAAATTCGATTTTATAATTTTATACGATTACGTGGATGTGTCTCTGGCGCCTTATTCTTAATATTTTGTACAATCATAATTTTTCTGTATGCACGCCATTTTCCACGCCTCGCATAACACAGTTAGGCGCTATTCTTTTAAGTTCTCGTTTATTTTCCCCATTATGAATATATAGTCTATGATTGGACCATCTGTCAGCTAGTACGTGTACAACCCGACCATAAATCTCTTTCATTTCCTATACCTATAATAATTCTTCTTAAATATAACTCTCGGTTTCGCGAACAACGGATGCCCCTCGCCTCGGCATTTCCGCCGTTTGCGTTTTACATCACTTTCACAGATCAATTCGTGTTTTATTTTCTCTGTCCAGCAGCTATAACGTCTAAAATAGATACCACCGAAAGTACTTTCGATGAAGACTCAACTATCTACAGAGAAGAGATAGATTTTGATAGATAGATCTTTGAATTCTATTCGAGTATAGTATTTCTACGTTAAGAGAGTCAAGATAGTAGTACTCGCGGAGGCTTTATAGCCTTGTAGCTGAACTAGCTACATGTAGTAGATAGTATCCAGTGATAGAGTCGATCAAAGAGATGCTTTATTTTTTTATTTTTTTTCCCAATTCTTTGCTCGTTGTAAATCGCGTGACATAAATTTTAAGAGCAATTCAACCAAAAGTCTGCCGATTACGTACGCAACAGTTGCGTTAAGTTATGCAGAATTTTTGAATTGTGATAGATAGTTGCGAGAAACAGTTTCATTTTGTGCAAATGTCAATTTTGAATCTCGTTCGTTTATCCAACTTTTCGAATTTTCTTTTACAATAGATGATATATCAGACATACAGCAACAATACACGAAGAAGTAATTTTTTAGCGATCAGAAACGTGCTGAAGTTTTTCTCAAGTTTATCGGATGCAACTTGTAATTCGCTGTGATTTACGAAAGTTTAGATGATTTTTATAAGAATAATGTTGATAAATATTGATTTAATATTAGTTTTCAAAATATATGTAAATCTCTGCCAGAATTTAAGGCGAGGGAGGCTTTTGTGTTAATTTCTATTTGTGGACATAAAACGACATGTGAAATCATTCGTGTTAAGAGAGCACATAATAGAAACTATAACAGAAATAATATTGCTTTGTTTTATTAAATCGGAAACGCTATGATCGGTATTTATAATCGATTTTTATTTCAAAATCGTTTCAAGTAACGTCTTAAGATGCTAATACGGCTCTATGATTGGCTTATGACTTCTTAAGAATGTACTTAAAACAATCTTAAATACCGAGAACCGATTTATGTGCACTCTTTTATCTCGATTAAATAAAGGAAAAACGCATATATAATTTATATTAATCTTATATGAGATAGTACAATAGCAATCTAGAGATCTTAGATAGCCACCATGACTTCTACATCTGAATTGTGTTAAGAACCAATACCGAGTTTATGTTTTAGTAACTAGATTGAGCATAAATAATTCTCGTCCCTACTTTTAAGCAATTGCCAATTACGTTTTTAAAATATGATAATTGGATTACTTTCAGGCAGCCATTTCAAGTACATCCTGAGGAAAAATGAGGAAGTATTATCCTAATATTATATATTTTGAATATAAACGATATTACTATTGTACATTCTTTTGTCTCTGATCGCATTATAATAAAACTTTTTATTGTCCAATAATATAAAAACTATCGATATCGCACTAAACAAAGCAGTACGATTATAGCTTATAGTTTAGCATAATAATTGTGAAGTTAGAGACAAGCTAATACTGTTTGAAATTATTTAGCACTGTATTACTTTCTTCTGTTTGTAACGCATAAAATATAAATAATAAGAATTGGCAATCGTTGATTTAAGATTAATACAGAGAACTGACATTACATATTAAATCATTGTCAATTGCGTTTTTTCACACACATTGTTCACGTAAAATACTCTGTGACAAAATCAGAATTGAAGCCAAACTTTCTCATGTTATATTGATAAAATCATGATCGAAATTACGTAAAATTTTATGAAATTTCCTGTAGATAAACTCGATGTTTGCGAAAGAAGGTAATATGCAGTTTGGCAGCGCGCAATAGAGATTAAAAGATGTAGTGACAGGAAGTATCAGCTATAGAAAAATGTACCCGATTTCTATATTTTTAGAGGAAATATATGAGCGTAAATAAAGAGAGAAAGTGTGCGCGGATGTACAGTTGAGATATGATTTAAGTATACAGGCTGACGTTATGTAATGAGAACTCACACCCTAAATAAGTGCTACAACTCCGTTCTCTTGTTAAAAAATTACCATTTTGCGTGCTCTTGTTTTTTTACAAACGTTGCCAACTTAACAATATTCCGGTTATCGTCAGTCTAGTCTCGCTAACTCTTTAAAAAATAATAACATTATTCTAAAACTAATGGCGTCGCATAAAAAAGCTCATAACATATATATTTAGATTTAGCTTATTCCCGATTAATTATCATGGGGTAAGAGTACTTCCTTCCGTTCTCGCATCTAAAACTAATATCCGATCGAATTCGAAAGTATCTAAATGACACAATTACCCCGTTTTTGTCTTTTATACACTTATTTACGTAACTTCAAAGACATGCGGTAGTGATCGAGTGATATGAGACAACATTCGATGTTTATCTCAATTTATATATAAGTCTTATGCTCTATATAGATAGGCGCTGCTAAAAATCGAAGAAATCTTTACGCCTGTAACTCTCCTCTGTTTCCTTTCTGTCGTTTCTATCACTTCCCTGACTGACTTTATTATTCTTCTACATGTTATCTCTCCACGTTCGACATATTGATACACTGCGTGAATTGGAGTTGTGTCAGCTTTGCTGTTTGAAGAAGTTAGTCGCCGCAATCACATTATTCTCTATAGATTGGAGAAATATCCAAAAGTCGGTTCGCGCGATTCGCTTATCTCCAGTATTTTATACAAGAAACGCACATAACGAAAGGATACTTGAAACTCGTATATACCTAAATAAATGTAAGCCTCATTTGCTCGCTTCCCAATCTAATGTCGATGATTTCGATCAGACTTGCTGGCCTCGATGCATCGGAGACTCTCGCCTCCCGTTTATCTCGTCCCCCCCCCCTCCCGTCCATTTTCCTTCTCCTTATTTATTTATAGTTATCCAGAAGTAGGCAGTGTTGGAAAATGATTAAATATACTTCGCTCAAGTAAATCTTCGCTCATCGCGGAAGCCTTGGTCCAGTCTCCACGACTCGTGTGTTGGTTTAATTATAATAAAACGTATAATATTTCGCGTATATTCGGCAATGGATCATTCTAATGCCAGATCGATAGAGAGAGGGGCTCCCTCCTTCGTCTTCGAATATTTCTTCCACTTTTTGTTCTCGGGTTAATCCAATTCACTTCTCTCTCTCTCTCTCTCTCTCTCTCTCTCGCTCTCTCTCTCTTTAGCAGCACACAGTCTTTTACAATCTAGAATCTTACAACAATAATACGCTTACCTGTCACAAAAATAAATATTTTGATATCGCTTACCATCTACGTATGCTTACGCACTAGAAACAACAAATCCCGCTTGACATATCCAGCTGTACGACGGGATTCACGATAAACTTTGTATGTCTCATTCGTGAGTTGACGCTCATCCTCGCATTTAACTTGGTTTTTTTTGTTGTGTTGTAGTTCTATATGCACGCGAAACTCGCACGCCGTTATTAAAAATTGTACGCGGGCTACGAGTACATTCACGTGAACGTACAATACACGTTACACTTTGAAATTGCAACTGAATACATGCTGTGTTTTTATCGTCTCAGCACATAGGTATAAACTCAAACATAAAACACAACCTTCAACTACTTTTAATCATAGTGTCTTTTGTAAGATGCATTCAACAAACATAAAAGCAACAAGATATTAACAACACCAACAATTTTTATGTAAGCATATTTTTTAACATTTATGTAAAAATATGTAAAATGTTGACACAATTAGTACTATATTAATATTTTAGTGTAAATGTTTGTTTGTAAAAAAATGTATATAAAGGCTAATTAATATAAATTAAAAAATTGTTATAATTAAAAATTAAAATAAAAAATAAAATAGTGCGAGTAACGTCGTGCATAAATTTCAAAAATACATTCTTAATCTTTCGCTTACAATTTACGGTAACGCAATATCCATTCGATACAAAGATCCGCTCCTAATTCTCGTTTATTCCTTACCCACTTCATACTTGCTAATGCTAAAGCTTTATGAAATCATTGCCACTTTGCCGACACTTGACAATTATTGGAAGGGCCTATTACATTCCTTTCGTAACAAATGTCATGCTGTTTGCATGAGACATCGTCATTTTCTAAGCAAGTTTCAAGCAAAATACCAAAATTATTTTATTGTTCTAATATTCCGTTACTTGCTTCCAATCTGCTCCTGCATATATATTTCCTCATTTGCAGATACCTAATTTCTATAAACATTCTATCTCGGGGAAGAGGGAGGCAGCACATCAATCAAATATTCGCCTAGTTTTCGTTTTTCTATCACAAAACAACCACTTTTGTAATTTTTTGGTACATCTAATTGTAAGTCACAAATTTTTCGAGCTGAAAACACTCCATTTATGTACACTCTTCTTTTACTCTCTTTCGTAGTATTCTCTTTTTGCATATCTAGAAATTCCGCTGAGTAGATTTTGTTGAGCTAACGCGCGAAGCGGGTAATATCGTCTCTCGAAACAATCAATTCTGAAAAATCGCATATCAGTCGCTCCAGGACGACGGGACGCACTTTGAGGAGTTTCTTTTTCCTCTCTCTGGTCCAAGGAGATAAGGTACAACATTGAGCGATTTATTTTCTAATCTTGAGTGATCCCTTCAAGTCCATGGTATGTATCGCGGACGTGGTGAGTGTCAGAAGGCAGTGTCTAGAGCAGCCATGCTGGTTGAGATATCCGGATCTGCTCGACAAGCTTCCAAGAACTCGGATAGCGTCACTACACCATCTCTGTTGCCGTCCATTTTCTGAAATAATATTAATTAATAAAGTTAAATGATGATGAAGATTAATTCTATCAATTAATTAGAAAGAGGCTTACACATCTAAATTAATGAGAAACGTTAATAATGAACGTTAATGTGATTTATCGTGAAATATTAAAAACACCTTCTATTTTTTTTTTACATAAAGTAACTTATTATAAATAATTTAGTATAACGTTTTCGATATAAAGTAGAACGTATCCATAAAATTTTAACTTTAAATTTACATTATACTGTCGCTATACTGTCAGCTACAAATCCGTTTAATATTCAATGAACATTCTAACGTAATCGTAATGAAACGTTGTGTCAAAAAGTTAGTAGTATGAGTAAAACGTTATAACGGGTATTATGAAGACTTTCTATAGAAAGGTACACGAAAATCCGCTTTGTGAATCTCTCTTTGTTTTGCATCGCAGTTGGTCACGGATATCCTGAGCCTCATAACTCGTACCTCTAACATGATTGACTGAACTATGAATGAATGGAATTACTATGAAGCTTAAACTCAGGAAAAAAAGCATCACGTTGACCTAGATTGGAAGACCACCGCTGACGTATATCCTAAGACGGTATACAACGACGAAAAAGCATGTAGACGTCCTCTCACACTTCCGCGTTTCTACGATGGGTATGCCGATGTAAATGTATGCGTCACTTAAAGTAGAAGTAGTAGAACTGATGTAAAACTGATCGACCACGGTCGCGCTACAAGTCTCTGTTTCTACTGCGTCGTACTTTCCAGCTATATTTTTCAATATCCGTTGTTTCGGGTGACGTGTAAATGTAATTTATTATTCCAATATTATTTAATTACGTTCCTTCTATCGGAATAATCATTGAAAATTAAAAATTTGTCAGAGAAAATTGTTACAGTTGATTCTTTTCTAGCAAAATAAACTGTTAATACGAATGAACATAGTATGATCAATAATGCAGTCTCTTCTGTATATTTATTCAAATATATTCAACTAGAAGTAAAGCCCATTATCGGGCGTTAATTATCTGCAATTCATGGCAATCTATCACAGATCGAGTTAATTACGGAACAAATACTATCGAAAGTCGAGGCTGGGAATTTCAAGTTGTGTGTTGCGTGCATGTACGATCATTTAGATTGCACGATAGTAAATCGGCTATTGGCAGGTGCGATTCGCAAAATTATTATTGCTCTCACACTACGAAACGAAAAGCTCGTATGCGTGGGTGGAGCTTGATGTCGTGTACCGTTGGATAGGATTAATTGGTATCACGACTTACTACAAGCTAAATCGTGCATTATCGTAGCCTTGTAATTATATTATAACCAGCAATAATCACCGGAAATATGGGGAACATAGGATTGTGCGGAAATTTGATGGGAGAACCGGCGGTATAATAGGATCTCATATTATACCGTCATTCATCAATTTAGTATATCAGAAAGTATAATCTTGAACCTTATCTTTAAATCCTTCATTTTAAAAGACAATACCATTGTTTCGTGCCATATATACATATAAAGCTGCTGCAAATCCAGTGAATAATAAAAATTTCAGAGACAGTTCCTCTGACGATTTTTGACGAGACGATCGTAAATTTTTTAATTTTCGCCATTAAATATATTTAATGATAATTAAGCTTATAAATTTTTATATTTCACGTTTCATATTTCCTTTTATCTTCCATGTCCTGATCTCTTGTTCACGAGTGACGTAACATGGAAACGATTCAATCATAAAACCAAAAATTGGCAAGGTAGACCATTTTTCTGGGATGAGAAGTGCTAGAGAGCTGGCTGCGCAGTTTCCAGAAACAATGGGACGGATTTAATCGTTATCTGGAACGAACGGTGCCAGAATAAAGCTCGTTTTTAATTAGTGCTACGAATAACGCAGGTACTCTGCGACGCTCGTTACTTCTGCTTTCCTCGTGATTAATTAGTATCCGTTTGATCAAAACTAATGTTTTTACGAGAAATTAAGAATGGATTGCTATTTTAGTATAGAAAGGGGAATATTCTTTGTAGAATAAATGTACAGGTACATAAAATATAAATTATATAACTATAAAATTAGGAATTGGTGAACAAATTTATATGAAAAAATTTAATTACGACTAAAATTTTTCATCAATAATTATTGATAAAAAGTATTAGATATTATATATATGTAATTTTTACGGCCTCGACAACATAAAATATTTGAAAAAAAAATCGAAGAAATGTACAAGTACCTATGTACCTGAACCAAATCTTTGAAATAATTATATATAATTATGCTTGTTACATTTAAAGAAGTTATGTAAGAAGAATATTGATGGAATCTTACACACACAACCGTGAAGAACGAGAGCTATTCTTTCATCGCTTTTCTACGAGCGCATTGAGAATCTTCGTAAGCGTTCAAAGCCATTGTGCCGCGGTTAGAAGTTTATAAAGTGTCCACTGGTCCATTTTTCATTCCCGGCTTGTATTCACGGCTTGGGGGTTACCTTTAATAGTGCTTTATCGTTATCGTGAAAGGATCTCGTAAAGCTGGAAGACCAAAAACTCAGACATATCAGATGTTTTACAAAGGGTTTATTAATTATTTGACATCCGGAACTTCATTAAAGCTTTACTTCATATATAAAGAAATATTTAGATAAAAAAGATTTGTGATAAAGTTTTCTACATTTTCTATATATGTATTTCATACAACTGAGAGCTATAATAACGTATTTTCCAATAATATCTCAAAATAATCTCAAAATATGGAATATAAAAAATAAAAAACGCTAATTTACAATAATAAATCAATTATTAATAATTAATAATATATTATATGTAGTTATACGCATAGACCATATATAGACATATTTATGCTTAATTTTAGCATTTTTATTTAAGTATTATATGATGGCAAAGATGGCTCATACGCGCGCGATTTTCAGCATAATTCAAAAAAGTCCTTACGTCATCGAATAATTGGGAAAAGCGATTAATGTTTGTAGATTCACTTTATTTATTTTTCTGCACTTGCGATCTGCTTGAAGCGGTGATTTGTCAAAGTGATAGACAAGTATCTAGCAAACAAAAAATCCAGAGAAAAATAGAAAAAAAACATAAATTGAAGGCAAATTTAACGCGTTCGAATAAGATAAATATTCGTGAGATAAGTATCACAAAAGATATTTAATAAAAGATATGAGAGAAAAAAAAATGAAAAAGTGAAATGAATGGTATTTATTAAAGTAAATACATAAATAATTCATAAATAATGTATCTGCAATATGAGATCACATCATATTATCACATCAATTATTAATAAAATTTTAAAATCAATAAAATAAAAAAATATGTTATGACATGCGCTCTCTCTATCTCTTCAGTTTCTTATTTATTTTCGAAGCACGAATTGAAAATCCCCTGTAATTTTGTTTACAAATCGTATTACCGCATTCATTATTGGTTGAGAGTTCTTCATTTTAACGTCCCACACATAATGGCGAAATGAAACTTTTCCCATTTCGTACATTCATTTTCTCGTTTCTGCTTTACGTGACGCAATCTCTTCTATTGCTACATCCCGTTTTATTTCTGCATCTTGATTTCATTTCATGCATTTGCTGCATTATATTCCTTTGCCGAATAGATCTTTATCTTTCTTTTTCTCTTTAACGAAACAAAACTTCAAAGTGCCCGTTTCGCTGCCGTGAGATAGAAAGATGCCTGAAAAATCGTTTGACTGTTGAGGAAAAGTCTTGTCTTGCGCCGCATTTTTCAAGCACTTTTTAGCAAAAGTCCTGGATCGATTTATCTACGTAGCCAAACGTTAATGCCCGAAAAGGAAAACTTACAGAACGTCCACAACATACAACTGACGAGAGTTGCACGATATTCCATTTCTTCGGCTACAAAAACATTATTACAAGCTGACTACACATTCGAGAAATGGTTTACGCGTAATATATATTTGATGTGTCATTACCGAGAAATTTATTCACTCTATGCGTATTAATAAAGTGCACATTTATACTTGCTCATTACTAATCGATTACCGCGTACGTGTGCGCGCGCCAATAATATAACGCGTAATAATATAACAATTTTACCGTCGATATTTTCCGCACGCGTCGCAGTGTGATGCGGCGATGTGGCATCGCAAAGGATCATTCATGTAACAGATGTTATTGATATTACGACAATAAAGTTTAACCGCAAGTAACATCTGTTGAACAGAAATTTAGGTAGTTTCCAGTTTCGCGGACGTTTCAGTTTACGGTGAATTGCAAAATTGATTGCAAACTACAAACTAATGAATTACATCATGCGAATCAAAATGGTCTGACTATACAATATCGGCAGATAGTCAGGAATAACATTTAATTGGATAGTAAACGGCGGACCAATAATTCCTATCACTATATTATCTCCTACTTTGAACTATCTCTTATAATTCAACAACGACAGATTATATCAATTCAACAGCTGAGTCGTAACGTGAAACGCAGAATCTTCAAAGGTATCATGGTTAAATAAAACGTAAGTAGAGACATATTTTATTTTACATCGATATATGTATAAAAATTTTATGTTCTCTGTATTATTATTTTCACAGAATGTAAGCACAAAACTTCTTTTTTTTTTTTAAGTTTTTAATTAATCTGTGCTAGTAGTGCATTATTAAAAAAAGAGAGTCATTTTTCCATCTTCTTCCTAGAAGTTCAGCATGAAAGTGATTAAAACCCTCCCGAGTGTCATGTTTATTATATAACGTGTGTCAGAGCGCGGGAGCGCTGCAAGTTAGATTGAGAAGCTGACGTGGTTCCTTGAGAAAAGCCCTCGGGGCCTTTGAGGAACTGAGACCACAGGCAATTAGAATTTAAACTATCCGCGTATATATGTAAACGCGAGATGCGCGTATATACCGCGGGGTTACGAGTTAGAGCTTCGTGTTGTAGTACTAATCCTATATCTCTCTTTATGCCGTCGCGACTGCCGCACACGCGACCGCGAGTGTGTATACGCGTATCGGTGTGCATGCCTCAAAAGCAGCAGCGCTAAACAAGGCGTTTACCCTTTCTGGTCGCGTCGCCGCCTTTACCGTCGAATTTGCGTTTCCTTTCAACGTCAACGAGAGCGTTGGAAGTACACGTCAATGGATCCCAACCCTATACAGAATCGAAAATGAGGGATCTAGGATCTCGACAACTTAACATGCCGGATAATAGATTACGTGTAACAAGCTTTCATATCTGACAATGAAACTTTCTTCCCGATAACGGAATCGAATATCGATTGTGTGAAATAGTATTTATTAACTTTATGCGATTGCAATTCGTGTCCGCGAGCAGAACAAGACCGGCAATGTACTTGTTTCTACTTTGTTTCTTTCAAAGTTTCATTTTTACGTTTAAACACACTTTTAGATACATAATTTTTTTGCAACAGATAAAAAAAAAGGGAAATCTCTGTACACGTTCTTTGAACTTTTTTATATTGGGTGGCATTTATCGCGTATTTTACAACACAATTGTTTTACGAAGGCGCGTGTGCGCCTGTTTTGCGCAGTTCGATTGTCAGCACGATCCCGTGCACCGTATCCTAAAAACGTTAACTCTTTGAACTCCATTTGTCATAGGATTGACGAAGCGTATAGCGTCTGTATCGGGCGGACAGAAGACACGTCATCCGCGCAAATTGTCTCTGTAAAACAGATTGCTCCTTTTTTCGCCTGTAGCAGCGGAGATAGGTGAAGAGACCCGAGTGCACTGCGGGCATTGTCATCCGCAGCTAACAATGTGACAGCTTCTAAAAAGAAAGGCTCGTTCCTGTCTCACGGATACACTCTCCGTAGACGCTCGTTTTCTTTCGTTGAAGTGAACAGATTATCGACAGTTATTTGCACGTTCGAAACAGATACGAGATTCATTAATTTAAATGTTCCGCCTGCCCGAAGCTCCAAATCGATTGATCGTTTCTAATTCAATCGTGTCTTCTTTAACGAATTACAAAACAACTAAAGTGAATTTAATGTGTTTATTAGGTTTCGTTTACGAGTCGAAATAGTTTTGGGAAAGACATGCAGTACGCAGTTATCTGCTCATACTGAGAAAAAAAATTGATTGTACAAACTAAATTTGTATAGTTGTTTGATCCAATAGTTGATTCAACAATTCTTTAGATGCACAAAGAAAGATATAGTTCATTCATGTCAACCATCAAAATTTTTTAATTAAGAATTAACTAAACCAACTCAGTTAAATTATTTTGTTCGAAATACTAATAATATTTATTTGTGTTTGCATGCTATTTAGTTATCCAAGTAATTATATTGTTCAAATTCCAAATATCAAATTCAAACTAACAAAACGATGCTGATAGGGATAATAAATAGTG